ATGTTTTATTTGTACAGTGGCATTGCATTTCTCAGTATGAACCTATGTTTTATTTGTACAGTGGCTATACATTTCTCAGTATGAGCCTATGTTTTATTTATACAGTGGCTATACATTTCTCAGTATGAGCCTATGTTTTATTTGTACAGTGGCAGTGCATTTCTCAGTATGAGCCTATGTTTTATTTGTACAGTGTCAGTGCATTTCTCAGTATGAGCCTATGTTTTATTTGTACAGTGGCATTGCATTTCTCAGTATGAGCCTATGTTTTATTTGTACATTGGCAGTGCATTTCTCAGTATGATCCTATGTTTTATTTGTACAGTGGCATTACATTTCTCAGTATGAGCCTATGTTTTATTTGTACAATGGCAGTGCATTTCTCAGTATGAGCCTATGTTTTATTTGTACAGTGGCAGTGCATTTCTCAGTATGAGCCTATGTTTTATTTGTACAGTGGCTATACATTTCTCAGTATGAGCCTATGTTTTATTTGTACAATGGCAGTGCATTTCTCAGTATGAGCCTATGTTTTATTTGTACAGTGGCAGTGCATTTCTCAGTATGAGCCTATGTTTTATTTGTACAGTGGCTATACATTTCTCAGTATGAGCCTATGTTTTATTTGTACAGTGTCATTGCATTTCTCAGTATGAGCCTATGTTTTATTTGTACAGTGGCTATACATTTCTCAGTATGAGCCTATGTTTTATTTGTACAGTGTCATTGCATTTCTCAGTATGAGCCTATGTTTTATTTGTACAGTGGCAGTGCATTTCTCAGTATGAGCCTATGTTTTATTTGTACAGTGGCTATACATTTCTCAGTATGAGCCTATGTTTTATTTGTACAGTGTCATTGCATTTCTCAGTATGAGCCTATGTTTTATTTGTACAGTGGCAGTGCATTTCTCAGTATGAGTCTATGTTTTATTTGTACAATGGCAGTGCATTTCTCAGTATGAACCTATGTTTTATTTGTACAATGGCAGTGCATTTCTCAGTATGAACCTATGTTTTATTTGTACAGTGGCAGTATATTTCTCAGTATGAACCTATGTTTTATTTGTACAGTGGCATTACATTTCTCAGTATGAGCCTATGTTTTATTTGTACAGTGGCAGTGCATTTCTCAGTATGAGCCTATGTTTTATTTGTACAGTGGCTATACATTTCTCAGTATGAACCTATGTTTTATTTGTACAGTGGCAGTGCATTTCTCAGTATGAGCCTATGTTTTATTTGTACAGTGGCAGTACATTTCTCAGTATGAGCCTATGTTTTATTTGTACAGTGGCATGCATTTCTCAGTATGTGCCTATGTTTTAATATCTTGTCCTTGTTCTTGCTTTGTTTTTGACAGTTTGTCAATCAATCAATCATAAAAAGTAAAAGTAAACAAGTAAATAAAAGCAGAGAATTCAATGAGACAATTAAAAATTTTATGTCATATGACTAGAACACACACACACATTAATGATTATTATACTCTAATGGTTATTACTTTATTCAGAAATGTCCCAGAATTGATTAGTTAATGTAATAATATTGGTAGACTAATAGGCTTCTTTGATTCAATTATCAATATCATTATTTACAAACCAAATACAAAGCACGGATCATTGTGGCTTTCTTGTCAGAAAGCTAATTAAAGAAGGAGAAGTTTTATTACTCCAATTCCATTCTTATCTCTATAAAGAAGAAATCTTTCCATTAGTTTAAACACAAATGTCACTCAGCCTTGCTCCTATAATAGAAAGCACATTATTGAAGTGAATTACAACCTATGCTCCAATAATTAGATTTCTGATCTCAACCTGGAATCTAGAAAATCGGATTAAAAAGTCATTCTCAGGAATTACAGTTAAAAATTGACTTTTGAAAGGAGAAAATATAGAAAAATGTCAGAAATTTGGCTCCTCTGAGATGGTCTGATTGAACTAATGTCCTAAAATCTAAGTCACTCGTTCTTTTCTTAATAATCATTACATATTTTTAATCTTTCCTAAAGTAAAATCCTTAAGGATTAAGTTCTATACTGGAATAGTGCAAATGTTACATGGCAACTCAAGACATCAGATAATTATTGCAAGAAATATGATACACTTCAAAATATGACTGCTTTTGACAGATTGATTAATTGAACAATTATATGCAAGCCTTGGTATTTCTAATAAATCTCTCCGTCATTCTGAGAACTACTTTAGAATTGTCGCCAATGACAAATGATTGTCTTTTATTAAATATCTTATACATATAGTAAGAGATGTATGTTATTATCAAATTTTTACATTAAATTTAACAAAATTCAGACCACATAGTATAAATTCAGAAATTAATGTGTGCATTTATTATTGCAAATCCTTGACCACTGATAAAAGTGTGAAATCTAATTAATGTGATTTGAAAATTTTATGAAGGAAAATCAGTACTGAAAATATGGATAAAATTTTTTATTATTGTGAACCTGATACTGTCACCTTTTCCACAATAATAAAAACATTGCAATCATTTCTGAATTTGCAGCACATATTTTTTTTATTTGTGTAGTGGGATCAATGGTACTTTTTATTTGTGTAGTGGGATCAATGTTACTTTTTATTTGTGTAGTGGGATCAATGTTACTTTTTATTTGTGTAGTTGGATCAATGTTCCTTTTTATTTGTGTAGTGGGATCAATGTTACTTTTTATTTGTGTAGTGGGATCAATGTTCCTTTTTATTTGTGTAGTGGGATCAATGTTACTTTTTATTTGTGTAGTGGGATCAATGTTCCTTTTTATTTGTGTAGTGGGATCAATGTTATTTTTTATTGGTGTAGTGGGATCAATGTTACTTTTTATTTGTGTAGTGGGATCAATGTTACTTTTTATTTGTGTAGTGGTATCAATATTATTTTTTATTTGTGTAGTGGGATCAATGTTACTTTTTACACTAAAAATGGGGGTTGAAAATACCAAAGGGACAATAAGAAATCATAAGTTAAAGAAAAAAAGATTGCATTATGACCAAAAAAGAAAACAACGACAGCAAAACATAACCCACAAAACACTACACAGAAAACTAAAGATTTAGTAACACAAAGCTGAAGAAAACCAGGGATGATCTCAGGTGCTTTCAAGTTTACTTTGACCAAATGATATGAAACTTAAATATTCACAATGCTAATATTACCACAAAACACTTCCAATTTTGGTGGCCTTACTTTTAACAATCTTGAGTTATGCCCTTTATAAATGAAAAATTGTCCAATTTGTTGTGTCATTCAGTTTCAAAGAAAAAAATGAATGTCAAAAGGTTTGAAATAGTACATTGAATCTGGAATATTAACAAGAAGGGGCATTTGTGTCCAATGGACACATTCTTCTTTTATTTAAAGACTATTTTACCATACTCGACTGATATGTGACTGTATTATCATAGTTTGTGATATGTGACTGTTTTATTAAAGATTACTCATTTGTGACCACTTTAAATTTTATGACTGATATGTGACTTTTTCATTATAGATGACTGATATGTGACTTTATCATTATAGATGACTGATATGTGACTATATCATTATAGATGACTGATATGTGACTTTTTCATTATAGATGACTGATATGTGACTTTATCATATACTTGTATAAAATATTACTAAAATTTTACAGTTCAATAACATTTAAAAATATTAAAAGGCTATGAAAGGATTACTAGGTTTATTGATCAGATTCCTAAGAATTTTCCTCAGCGGGCTGATAAATGAACCTTTATTGACTGCTTCCGGAATGTTATCACATGCCTTTCTGTTAATTTCCGTGACGTTTATCACATGCAACGTCGTGCATTTCCGGAAATTTGTTCGAAAACAACAACACAGTGCGGAAAACCGCAAGTGATTTAAGACTTTCACAACATGGTTGAGGAGCAAATTTCAAACTAAGAACATGATAATTGTTGTGACAAGATAAATAAAATGCTTGCAATATCAATAAAAACAATTAAAGTTAAGAAATTTGTATTTGGTTGTCTGTAAATTATTATCTAAAAATTCATGGAAAGACAAAAATTTTAATTAATAGTTCTTGTCTGTATTTCTTCTGTTGAAGTATATGATAAAAAGATAATTACATGTCATTTATCATATCAGACCCTTTATCGGCCCTCGTTCATGATATCACCCCTCGAGCCTGCGGCTCTTGGGCTGATATCATGACCTAGGGCCGATAAAGGGTCTGATATGAAAAATGCCATGTAATAATCTATACATATCATTATAGATGACTGATGTGTGACTATATCATTATAGATGACTGGAATGTGACTATGACTGATATGTAACTATATCATTATAGATGACCGATATATTTGACCAATTGTTAAATGATCGATGACTGATTTGTGACTATTTCTTTTATAGATGACTGATATGTGACTATTTCTTTTATAGATGACTGATATGTGACTTTGACAGATATGTGACTATATCATTATAGATGACTAATATGTGACCATTTGTTAAAAATGATTGATGACTGATATGTGACCATTTGTTAAAAATGATTGATGACTGATTTATGATTTATGATTGATATGTGACTATATCATTTTAGAGGACTGATATGTGACTATTTTATTATCAATGACTGATATGTGACTATTTTATTATCAATGACTGATGTGTGACTATTTTATTATGGATGACTGATATGTGACTATTTTTATTATCAATGACTGCTATGTGACTATTTTTATTATGGATGACTGATGTGTGACTATTTTATTATGGAAGACTGATGTGTGACTATTTTATTATGAATGACTGATATGTGACTATTTTTATTATCAATGACTGCTATGTGACTATTTTTATTATGGATGACTGATGTTTAACTATTTTATTATGGATGACTGCTATGTGACTATTTTATTATCAATGACTTATATGTGACTATTTTATTATTGATGACTGATGTGTGACTATTTATTATTAAAAATTGCTGATATATGTCTATTTTAGGTATTGGATACTTCACTCTCCCCTACTTAGTTCATGCAAGGGCTAAACAGCTTCATGCTTGTGAATGGAATCCTGATGCAGTGGAAGCTTTGAAGAAGAACTTGCAGTTAAATGGAGTTGAAGATAGATGTACTGTTTACCAAGGAGACAACAGAAAGGTGGGTATTATTGAAGAAACCAAATCAGTCAGTTACTTTCAGATAAACAACAGCCTAAAAACAGTCCCTTTTCTTAAAGTTTTGTTGTGTGTGTAAGGTTTTTATTTCATGAAGATACTTACATTCCTTTTTTTCCTTAAAAGGGCGTTAGCTATGAATTATACAACAAATTAATTTTTTTGTGTTTTTGTTTCAAACATTTATAAAAGCGGAATATAGAAATGATTACTTGTTGTCTGCAATCAGTTTGGTTGAATTTCGTCAAAATAAGCTAAAAAAACATCACTGATGTATTGTAGGCTTCCAAGTTGATGAGGGACCCTGCTCACCATCCAAGATGGCCACGAACGAACAGGGTTTGAGCTTCATTTTCTTTCAATCTGATTATCATTACATGAATCAATCAATATTTTTACTATTATCATTTGCAATATTTGCATAGTCTTAAATGAAAACCTTTTAAATTTTCTTCAGATTTGTCCAACACATGTTGCTGATAGAGTAAACCTAGGCCTGATACCAAGTTCAGAAGATGGGTGGCCTGTGGCATGTGCTGCTCTGAAGCCAACTGGTGGCATTTTCCATGTACATTACAATGTAGAATCTAAGATCAAACAGACTGAAGTCAGTGACATTAATAATTCCTTTGAAAGAAGTGAATCTAGAATTAAAAATGAAAGAGATACAGGAACTAATGTACGAGGTGACAGTGTATCAAAACATATAGACAGGAAGAACACTTGGACAGAGTGGGCTGAACAGACTTGTGGAACATTACATAAACTGATGTGTATAGCTCATTCTGAATCAAAGTGGAATATATCAGTCTTGCACATAGAACATGTCAAATCTTATGCACCACATGTTGATCATGTGGTTGTGGACTTCAAATGTTGTCCAATATAAATATAGATATTATATTTTCTATCACATGCAGGTCATGTGACCCTATGATTGCAATATTGGACTGTCATGTTCAGTAATAACATACTATAAGCCAATGTAAAGGTTCATATCACTTGTGGATCGTATGATAATGGATTTAAAATAAAAACCATCGTGAATTTTTTTATCTATATGTTGGGCTTGTATTAAGGAATTTTGGAACCAACCAATAACAGGGTTTCCCAATGGCCATTTTTTTCCTCCACTGCAACAAAACTGTCAGTAGATGAGTTATAGGTATATATTTTTTAGTGGACTTTAGGTATTGGTGATAATGAGCTTAGCAAGTTGCAAATAACCTCAATATTTTATCCCGACCTTCACCTAAAATGAAATTTGTTTAAAATGCTACAGGTCATGTTCAGTTTAGGAAACTTAAAATTTACAACTTACTGGGACGAAATTGATGACAGCACATTTTTCAGCATGATAAAGTATTCAAATGTAAATAGTTTCAAGGTGTTCATCACAACTTAATTTGGAAAAATGTAGTTATATATCACACATGTGTAATTCATAACTAAATCTATCAATCTTTATGCTCAAGGTATGTGTTTCCTTTGACTGACACAAACATACAAACATACAGGCCAAGGTCACGACAACTGTTAAACTTCATTTACAGGGTGTACATTACTTCATATTTGATTTTCTCATTCCTGTACTTTACTAGGTTGACATTAACATAGTTACTTGAAAATGAGATATGCATTAACAAAATGATGGCTCAGTTCCAGAAACTGTCCCAAACCTATTAACAGAGTTTAAAATTGAACACATTTGAAATAAAATCATTTTCACTGACTTTGGCAATACTTTTTTTTTGTATTTTATGTTTTATCAGCACTTCAATTTTTCAAAAAGTTTTATGATTTGTTAAATATTTTGGTCTCGAGCATCACTGAAGCATCATTGAAGAGACTTTTATTGTTGAAATCTGGTGCAGTAAAATCGATGTTTCAGAATTAATTCAACTCAAATTACTAGGTAACTTAATTTATGACTTTTGTTATTATCAGTTTGAAATGGTCCTCTGACTTATAAATTTTTTAACAAAAATGGTACAAAGGATAAAGGATACAGTGTTTGAGTTGAATAACCATTCAGTGACTTTATTAAAGTGGGTATCATTAAATGACAATAATTGTCAACTACAACTCCTTTGCTTCAACAACACAAATGATATAGGTAATGTACCTTTATAATTGCTTCAATCACACCCATTGGATTTACATATTCTAAATGAGGTCACAAAACAAAGATAATGATTTTTTCAAACAGGTCAGAAACAAGCATTCTTGGTGGATTATATCTCAATTCACGTATAATCTACTACATTGTAATTGACATATAATGAGATAGACCAATTGAGATATACAACAGTTTATCACAAATCGTTTTAAGTGAAATTCGATCATCATTTTGCATATACCAAAACCAAGCTTTGATGACCACATATTGATGACATGTAATTTTCTCTGACACATAATGATGTATTTTGTTGGAGGGGAAAAAATTAAATGACCCTCCTTTTCCCACTTATGAATTCAGAATTTTGAACTTTTAAGTTTCTTACTGTCCACTTTAAAAACAAACCTTTAAGTTGGTACTAAGGCGGCCTAAGCACCCAATCATGCATATCCATCAATTAGTGGATTATACCTTTATCGAAGTTTTAATTTTACAAAATGCAGCACAGTTAGTCAAAAGCAATTACATGTCACCATAGATTACTAATGAAGGCTTTATATGGCAATTGCTCAATTGGTCTATCTTAGTATACGATAGATATATGGTGGATTATACGTGAATTGGGATATTATCCACCAAAGTTTTGCCTTTCTTGTTTAAACACAATTTAAAGACTGATGATCTTTGGTAACATATTTGGGATTTAACGATATGACAAAATATTAAGGATATATGATGTGATTGCAAATGGTATACATAAAAAAAGATGTGGGTTGTAAGTATGCAAACCCCTTTGTCCTTTGGTCTATGGATAGTTGTCTCGTTAGTAATCATACAACATCTAATCTATGAATTTTATGTTGTACGTCAATGAGATAACTTGATTGTCTAATTAAGAAAAATGAGCAAGTAGTCACATAATCAACTAGTTGCATCATTGACAAACATGTTAAAAGGATACTAACAAGGGGAAAGCACAAACTACAAGTCGAGCAAATCGGAGAGAATCAGAGGCAAAAATAGTTTAATCTCTAGATCCATTACAGACACAAACCAAGGTAAACAAAATAACAAAAACCAAAGGAAACCCATGAACTCAAAAAGAAGTGAGATCAGGTGTGTTTACAGGATGGGTGTCTCCTGCTATGCATGTGATTCCACACTGAGTCAAAATGTCTCGATCAGGAATAGGACACAATCGGTTGATTTACAGATCAAATGACTGTTCTGCTATCTAAAGATTTAAGACCGCGAGCACATGTTGCTAGCTATAGTGAGATTAGACACACACAAATCATATATGTCAATCAATTTGTGATGATGACTGTAAAACATGTGCGTTGTCGATTTCAGTCATTTAACTTCATATCTCTAATGAATCAGTTTTTACTATGTAAGGATCCCACCAGTGTTAATTAAGTCCGTATAATGTGAACATGCATGAATGTAATATGGATATGTATACGCCATACGATTAGTCAGAGGGTATTCTGCTGCTGAAAAATTACAATTGAACAGTTGAAATCATCACATTTTCGTAGATTTTAGTTTGAAGTCGTCAATCTATGTCAATATTGAGGAAAAGATCAAGATAAGAAGCAGACCTACTAGTGTCGATACGTAAAATTCTAAATCTATCTGAAAGTGAAGTTAAATAAATTTGCAAGATACGTTTTTCATTTGTGTTTGAGAAGGTTCTGTATGAATTCTGATTCATATTAGTACATCAACAAGTCGGTCAGAAGAGGGGTGCACAATTCTTGAAAAACGGACAACATCTTGGTCAATAAAAAACGACGAATTTATTAACAACAGTTCTCCAAAATACTGCAAATTCGATATATATTATAAATTAAATTAGATCGCCACTGATCCAGTAACAAATACATGTACAGGCATTCAACGCAAAGTAAATCGCACACTCTGTCATATCACAATTTACGTAGTTGTCTTGCTTCATTAAGAATAATTCTACTGTATCAGTTTTAATTCAATTCAAAGTATTATATGACGTATGAACAATTAAAGAACTTATGTTAGATTCTCTGTTATCAGATAACCTGGTTAGGGTCAATTTCTTTTTTATTTATGTGAAATCCGTCTACAATGTTACATAGGTATGTGAATTATACCATGATAGTTCTGAAAGATATGTGTGATCTCTCACACCAACAATGACAAGACACTGTTTTTATTGCTTTTATTTTTAATTTTATTAAAATGAAGTTGGATGATATTCGAGTTACAAGTCGTAATTCAAGGATTGACAAGAAAAATACTTATCAATAACAGAGTACTTATAAAAGAAAATAAGCGTTAACTATCTTAAAACGACAGTGAGTGCTTGCGCAATTCTTCTAGCAAGATAATATAATAGGTAAAACACAAGTTTTAGAATATTACATTTACTGATAGATGAATTTAATATTCATGCGTTGCTAGAGAATGTCTGAATACAGAATACAGAATTGGAACAATAACTGCTGTTTGTCGTGTGAATGTTTCTCTATACAATTTATTTAATATAATTTAAAGACATCTGGGACATTTCTTTTTATTACTCAAAGTATTTGGATCGCTCAATTCATTATCCCCAAGTTGGGTTTTAATTATTTCTATTGAATTATGTACCAGTTCTTCACTCTTTATTTTGACCCATTAATGTTTCCATGTATATTTGAAATGCATGTTTTATCTCTATCTTTGACGATTTATCTTAAAATGCTTTGGAGAATTTCAACAGAAATATTTAAGGTAGACAATTATATTCGTATAGAGATTCAAATCCAGGTGTTCTTTCGATAAACTATAAATTTTAATTAAAAATAACAGTTTATAAATTTCGTGCGTCCGAATCGCTTTTTCTTGATTTACCTTCACCATGCATTAAGAACGCTGAAAACAAAAAATAAATGAAAGCCAGGAAGGCATAAATAGTCTGATTTTATGTCTGTTTTATTTAGTCTAAATTATATATTACTAGTATAAAAAACCTATATCACTTGAACACAATAGGGTTGTAAGTACAACCACACAAATCATTCAAGACAATTATAACATATCATTGGTAAATAACATAAGATCTTGTCAACAAGACTGTATCGAAAGGATTAGCACAAGATTGTAGCGCTCGTAAAATCTACAAAGCATCAGAGGACGGGATGTGAACATTGAAAGAAAATATATCTTGTCAATTACATCCCTCATTATTTACAGATTAATTTGTTAATGAATAGAAAAGATCCACTGTAGTCTATAATGTCTATATATTTACCGAATAAAATGCATCAAGGTATTCTTATTTAAAAGTCGTGTAAACTCTGCTTTAGTTGAGGAGATCGTTATGTCCCCAATTAGGTTTGAGTTTCAGGTGCATCTCAGTTTGGGTTCTGTGTTAAATTGGAATCATGGATTTAAATATCAAATAGGTTTTTCGAAGTGTCATATTTACGTTGATTGTAACGCAGAACAACGAGACTGTCATGGCTTAATGTACAAGTTAATTTCGATAATATTATCTGACCGAAACAACCGAAAGCTTTTAATAACACAAACACAATAACCACAAACGTACCATCGTAAAATATGAACAAATATAAGAAAAACATATGAACAAAAAGATACCGGGATAACAAAAAGTGAAACAAGTTGAACGTGTCCGATTTAAGCTAATAACAATAAACGAAAAACAAACTCAAGTTATGGTTTAATGTGTGAACAATTTACTCTAATATTACTTGAAAAAACTACTTTTAAAAGCTGTTGGGAACAAATAAAGGTCTTGGATAAATACAGGTAAATAAAGAATGTGACGGGTTAAACATTTTGTGAACGCTGAACTCTCCCTAAAATCGGACAGTGGCGTAACAGCACAATATAAGAATAAATGTAAACAGTCAATTGAAAATGATATATGACTCTTCAGATGAGTCCATT